CCAACAGGTTCTGGCCGAACAGGAAGGACCAGATCACCTGGCCAAGTTTCTTTCCGGCACTGATGATGCCACGATCTCGAGAGTCAGAGCGACTTTTGCTCCGCAATATGACCTTTCGTCCACTGGCCGCGGGCAGAAGCTCGCTCTGAACCTCGAAACTGCCATGAACCACGTCTTGAAGCCACAGCGTGAGGGCGGTGGAAACAATGTGTACAAGGATGCTATTCCTGAATTTCTGCGGTCGATTCCCGAGACCGAATGGAAGCGGTGGATCCTAATGGAGCTGATTCATCCACCTGCCGAGGCCAAGAACGTGGCGCTCCGCAGTGATGGGGAGGTACTCAGTGGGCATGTTATTGGAGAGCTTGGTGTCTATGGAACAATTTTGTGGGATCAAGCCAATGGTAACATCGTGCAGAATGAGCAAGGTGGGTGGCTGATGAGGACCAAGGCGAGAGATGTCAATGAGGGGGGCGTCGCGACGGGCTTTTCCAGCTTGGACAGCATTGTTCTGTACTAGATCAATCCTCGACTAGACTATGTAGACCATTATAAATTCTCATTGTCACTGGCCCCAATTACCGATTCATACTCCGCACTTATAAGAGATTTGTAGTGACGTCGACGCTGATCTTTGCGGGGAAGTCACACGGGGCCCGTTGCAACCTTAGATTTCCAAGAGCCCCAACAGCCCCATTGAAACTACCTTGTGTGCCATAGTCTTGGATTTGATTTATTGTGATTGCGGCCCCCCGATCAATTTGACTTGCAAATTAGTCAATCTTAATTAGCGATTGATTTGCCACGAAAACGAATTGCAGGGATCTTGATAAAGGGTTCCGACTACGCCCGTTATCGCAGATCGACAAGGGTTGTGCCTACTGACTGATAGCAACTGATAAGCCCGCCGCGACAATGCAACCTGACTGCATCCGGCCAGCCAATATGCGGAGAAAAACCTGGGAAGATCGAGCTTGGTTCATTCACAATGTGACATGTTATCCTTCGTCTGCCTTGGTAGCTGATAAGCCGTGGGTTACATACTATGCTAAGGTTCTGGTATAAACCAAGGGTCGATGACGCCGTTTCCTTAAGAAATTGATCCCCTTGCGTCTCTACCATCCTGGCTCATACCTCGTCTAATTCCGCCTCCCTTCTTCTCACTCCCCGAAAATCCCTCATTCTTGCACGTTTTCTGACTCCCTCATTCTCACACTCCCGTCTGGCTGAAGTATAATGGCATCCAGCTCTAGCTTGAGTCCACATGACACCAAGACGAGCTCGATTCATGATGAGCCTGGGAAGGCGAGCCACTACACCACTGAGACAGGGATCATCGAGGATGTCGTCCGGGTCACAGATCACCAGGCAGAGAGGCATCTGTGTCGGAAATTTGACCTGCGTTTACTGCCAGTATTGGCTTTGATGTGTAGGTCAATCAGCTCTAGTCATAGGCTACGCCCACTGATGTATGGGCCGGGCCAGATCTTTTCAATGCGTTAGACAAAGGCAACCTCAGTAACGCCGAAACGGATGGCATGAGTACTGGTAGGTGACCACTCTTTGACTCCGATAGGAGACACTTGTGCTAATGGGTATAGACCTGCACTTCAAGCCGAATCAGTACAACTTGCTGCTCTCCATCTTTTACGTACCTTATGTCATCTTCGCGCCGCCCTTTGCCATGCTGGGCAAGCGCTTTAGCCCAGCCCGGGTCCTGCCCGTCCTTATGTTCAGCTTCGGCTCGTTTACGCTGCTCTCCTCCGCAGCCAGAAACTTCGGCGGCATGTTCACGCTGCGCTGGTTCCTGGGAATGTCCGAAGCCGCTTTCTTCCCTCTGGTCATCTACTATTTGACAACTTTCTACCGCCGCGGCGAGCTCGCCCGCCGCCTCGCCATCTTCTACGCCGCCTCTAACATTGCGAACGCCTTCTCGGGGCTCATCGCGTTCGGCGTCTTCCAGATCAAGAACTCGACCATCCCGAATTGGCGGTACCTCTTCATCATCGAAGGCAGCGTGACGGTCCTCTTCTCCTGCTTCGCATTCTGGTACCTCCCACGCTCCGCCAGCGAAGCCACATTCCTGAGTCCCGACGAGAAAGCACTGGCCTATCACCGCATCCAGGTCGACTCGTCCGCCGTCGTGAATGAAGCCTTCAATCTCCGCGACGCGCTGCAGATCTTCCGGCACCCGTCAACCTACGCCTTCCTCGGCATTGAAATCTGCCTGGGCGTCCCCCTGCAGGGTGTCTCCCTCTTCATGCCGCAGATCATTCAGCGCCTCGGCTACTCCACCGTGAAGACCAACCTCTACACGGTGGCCCCGAATGTGACGGGCGCCGCGATGCTGCTCGTGCTGGCCTTCGCCTCCGACGCTGCCCGCCTGCGCTCCCCCTTCATCGTGCTGGGGTTCCTGCTCACCTTCACGGGCTTCATGATCTACGCCTCCATCACCGACGTCGAGGCCCAGATCCACGTAGCCTACTTCGCCACCTTCATGATGACCTGGGGCACCTCCGCCCCCAGCGTCCTGCTCAGCACCTGGTACAACAACAACGTCGCCCACGAGGGCCGCCGCGTCCTGCTCACCAGCATCGGCGTGCCCCTGGCCAACCTGATGGGGCTGGTCGCCAGCAACGTCTTCCGCGCCCAGGACAAGCCCAAGTACATGCCGGCGCTGGTCACCATCGCGGCGTTCGGGGCGACGGGCGCCGTCCTGGCGGCCGCGCTGGGCATCTTCATGTGGGTGGACAATCGCCGCCGCGACGCCCGCGAGGGCGTCAAGATGCGGGCGCAGGATGTGCCCACCGAACGGTTGAGGGATGGACCGGCCGCGGTCGAGTTTCGGTGGTTCTTGTGAAAATTTTCTGATTTATTTTATTCTGTCACCTCGGAGGTTTTTAGTTTTGCTGAACATAATGACCATGATGAAGTTATGCACATCACACCATCGCCCACAATTCAGGGTTAGCACATCGTAGGTGTTGGAAGGGTAGCTTTCAAAAAGGCGACCCACAAAACGGCACTTGACGGCACCCTAGACATTTAACCCGAGCATAAAAGCCGATATGCAGGGTCTCTGTACCCCAATTCGGGGGTTTGCCTTCAGCCAAACCCCCTAAAATAAGCTCCACCCAGCAGGAACAGTAAGCGTAACCGTTGATTAATAATTTGCGGACAGTGGGGCCTTATGGCATCGACTTATGGGTGTTCTAGGATAACGTAACTGTTTCTGTTGCCTTCTTTCCCTTCTTATTGACACCTACTCTTCAGGTTTCTTATTCTCTGACTCCAAACGTTTTTTTCCCTTTTCTTCTAGAGAAGCTTAATCAAGATCCCCTGTAACTCAAAATGAGCATCCAACAATGGACCACCCCCCTAACGGGCCTGGCCAGCCTGCGCCAAACCACCGCCCCGCAGCCCACGCCAGGCCCCAATGAAGTCCTCGTCGAGATTCGTGCGGTCTCGCTCAATTACCGCGACATTGAGGGTGAGCATGTTCCCCATTATATTTCCTAATTACTGTCAGTCTAGAAACACCTTCCCCCCTCTAACCATGCAATCCGACGAGCAGTAACGAAGGGCGAATACAACCACCACAAATCCGTCACGCAGGAGACGCCCGCCACGGTACCCTGCTCGGACATGTGCGGCGTCGTGACGCAGGTCGGCCCGTCGGTCTCGCGCTGGCGCGTCGGCGACCGCGTCCTCTCCACCTTCCTGCCGGATCACCTCACGGGCCAGGTCACGCCGCAGATGCTCGCCCGGGGCATGGGCCACCCGCTCCCCGGCGTGCTGGCGACGCACCGCGTCTTCCCGGAGCAGGCGCTCGTCCGGGCGCCCGGGTACATGCGGGATGCCGAGGGCGCCACGTTGCCGATCGCCAGCGTCACGGCGTGGATGAGTGTGCAGGGTCGCCTGCGGGCGGCGGTGGAGAAGGGGGAGGATGTGAGCCGGAAGGTCGTGTTGGTGCAGGGCACGGGTGGGGTGGCGGTGGCCGGGTTGCAGATTGCGAAGGCGTGGGGGGCTAGAGGTAAGACTTCTCTGAAGGGTTTCGTTAGGTGGAAGGGTGGTATCGGCGTCTGTGTGTGTGTGTGTGCTAACTGTGGCCAACCCCTCAAGTTATTGTGACCTCCTCGTCGGATGCCAAGCTCGAACAGGCGAAAGCCCTCGGAGCGGACTTTACGATCAATTACCGGACCACGCCCGACTGGGAGGATGAGGTCAATCGCTTCACTGAGGGGAATGGCGTAGATATCATCCTTGAGACCGGGGGCGCGAAGACGCTGCGGAAGAGCTTCGAGTGTATTGCCTTTGGCGGGTTGATCAACTGCATCGGGTACGTCTCGGGGAAGATGGATGAGCCGGAGGATCGGGTCAATGTCAATTTGTTGACCCTCCGGCGGAATGTGACGCTGCAGGGGATTATCAATGGGCCCCGGGATGAGTTTGAGAGTATGGTCGAGTTCTATGAGAAGCACCAGATCCGGCCGGTTGTGAACCGCGTGTTTGGATTTGCGCAGGCGCGGGAGGCTTTCGAGTTTGTGGAGAGTGGTGCACACTTTGGTAAAGTGGTGATTGATGTTGTTGGGGCGTCTCAATGAAGGGCATGTACGTACGATGAGAATGAGGGCGGTGTAAGCTTGTGAGTGTATACTAGCTTTGCAGGTTTACTGTTGCCTAAGGGGTGCGCTTATGAGTAGGATTCTCGACGAACGTCTGGATATAGCGGATTCATGACGTCCTGGCTTGCTGTATGTAGGAAGATATTCATTGTATCTCTCATTTACAACACGCTTCAAAGCAGCTGCATCGTGGAATGTACTGTACGAAAGTGTTCACAATCATCTGGCATGAATGCATACAGCCTTATGGCACCGCGCTAACCGAAAGTAGTAAGTCCGACGGCTCCTCGGAGAGGCCCAGTACGGCAACTCCGAAAACTGCGAGCAAACGAATTTCAGTCTGCGCTGGCTCGATTTCTCATCACTAGCGAACATTTCATCTCATCCACCAGAAAAGGCGCCGAGCTTGGTTAAGGAAACGTGGTGCAGATCAATTAAACGCATTGACTCACGTTGACATAGAGGATGTCCGTCGACAACTTCCGGCGCAGCTTATCCTCTGTTTTGAGACTGACAGCTCACTACTGCAGTCCGTTTGTTGACGGGGATACTTAAGAACTTTCCGGGGCTAGTTAGCGCAATCACGCGGGGGTCAAGCTTAGTCTCATCTCATCTCATCTCATCTCTCTTCTCTCTCATCTTTCCCCCAAACCCTTGCTCAGCAAAGCACTGCCATGGATGGAGATCCTCAGCTTCAGCCCGACCCATCCGGCCCAACCTCGCCGGCGAAATCGCCCGCCCGGCGACGCAGACCGCCCTTGTCTTGCACCATCTGTCGGCGCCGCAAGCTGAAATGCGACCGCGCGCTGCCATGCGGCCAATGCCTCAAGTCCAAGACCCCCGATCAATGCATCTACGTCGGACACCAACCTCCCAAGTCCGACGCACGGCGCGGGGAGAATACCCCCTCGGATCGCGCGCGGGCATCCGCCACCAACAGTCGCGCCAGTCCCGCTCACGGCGGGTTGTATGTGTTCGACTCCAAGCATCATCATCAGTCGTCGGCGAACAAGATCACGAAGCCCAAGGCGCGCTCCGATGAGCTGCACGAGCTGCGCAACCGGGTGCAGTTCCTGGAGGCCGCGCTCTCCAAGACGGGTCCCATCCACACCCCCGAGAGCCTGGGGTATGACGCCCCGTCGGAGGCGGCGGGGCGCGTCGTCGCCCCAGAGGCCCAGAATCTCACGGACGACGTCAAGGAGCTATCATCGCGATCGTGCTTCCGTGGGAAGAAGAGTCGGACACGCTACTGTGGACGCTGCCATTCAGCCGTCACTCTGGCTTTTGTAAGTGAGCTGCGCCTTTTTTTTTTTTTTTTTTTTTTTTTTTATTGTCGTGATTGGCTGTCGCTGACCTTGTCTCATGCAGTTCGATGATGTCTCTGTCTTCATGAGAGGGCAGCGCAGTAGCTTGAAGCGCAATCCGGACTACAAGAACTTCAAGAGTTTTAAAGGCGAAATGTGGGCCCGCGAGCGGCAGGACCACCAACGGGCCTTTCGCAATAAGTCTTGGAATCTGGAGGAGATGGTCCCGCCGCGCCATGTTGCTGACGAGCTGGTGAACCTGTACCTGTCAACCTTTGAGATGACCTACCGCATCTTACACGTGCCGACTTTCCTGGAGCAGTATGAGGCTTACTGGACAGCGTCGGGCCCACGAGACCGGTGCTTTGTTGCGAAACTCCTAGCCCTGATGGCTGCCAGCAGTTGCTTTCTTAGTCCGACGGCAAAGATCGATGGTCGAGAAAAGCTGCACGATGCCGCCGCAGAATGGATCGCAGGGGTCCGCTCCTGGATTGCCCTGACCCTGGTCAGCTCGACCATAGATTTCAATATCTTGCAGATCGAGTGCCTGATTCTCATTGCACGCCAAGCGGATGCTATTGACGGAGACATTGTTTGGATCTCTTCCGGCTCCCTCATTCGTATTGCGATGACAATGGGCCTGCATCGAAGTCCCTACCGATTTCACAAAATGACCAAATTCTGGGCCGAGATGCGGCGCCGGCTCTGGGCCACGATTGTGGAGCTGGACTTGCAATCGTCGATCGACAAGGGAATGCCGCCCAACATCGACCTAGAGGAATTCGACTGCGAGGCCCCGTCGAATCTCGATGACTCTCAACTCACAGAATACATGACGGACGACCCTGTCCCAAAGGATCTGGGGACCTTCACCCGCAGCACCTTTCAAGTTCTACTGCACCAGACCCTGCCGCTGCGGGTGCACATCGCCAAAGCCATCAACACACTGAAATTCACCCTCTCCTACGATGAAGCACTGCGCCTGAGCGAGGAGATCAATCAATCCATGCAAGAGGGAGCCGGCATATTCCATCGCATGGGAGCGGCCATGTCCGCCCCGGTTGGCCAGGACCCTTCCTTCGCACAGTCCATGCTGGTATTCCTGATGCGTCGATCGCTGCTCGTGCTCAACCGCCCGTTCGCCCTCAGCATCCTCCGGACCCCAAAGTTCTCCTACTCGCGCAAGATCTGCCTGGAATCGGCGCTGCAAATGCTCTCGTACCTCGAGCCCTCGACGGAGACGCAGCAGGCGCTGCCTCAGCTGGCGCAGCTCAGCGGCGGGATGTTTCGCGATGAGTTCCTCCATGCGGCCCTGACGGTGTGCGTGGAGCTGTACCTGCAGTCGTGCGAGTTCAGCCTCCCGCAGTCCTTGCCCATGGGCCCGTCCAGTACGTTGACATCCTTCAATGATCTCGTCCGATCGCAGCAGGAAGTGATGCTGCAGGCGGTGCAGCGGACGATCGACACCTTTGGCAGCCGGATGGGTCCCAGCGGCAAGGGCTGCAAGGCGTTTTTCTTTCTCACCATGGTGTTGGCGTCTGTCAAGGCGCGGATCAACGGGCAGGACCCGCAGAAGGTGATTGAGCAGGATGTCGCGGTTTGCATGCGGCAGTGCGAGCAAGTGATGCGGGGGACGCCGTGGGCGGCGGTCTGCGATCAGACAGGCAGTTCCGCGATGGTAAGTTGATGAATGACAACGCTGAGAAGTTCTATTGCTAATTGTTTGTAGCCCGCTACCGCTACCGGCCAACCGTCGTTGGATGCTACAGTCCCGGTCGACACCTTTGACCCTGCCTCGTTCGGGCTGGATGCGGTAAGTTGCCTGCTTTGGGAGTGTACACGACAGGATGCTGACGAGTGTTCTAGCCGCTTGATTTCGGAAACCTGTTTGACATGGCGGATTTCGGGGCATCGGAGCTGTGGGATCGAGATTTCTTTGCCAGCTTTTAGTTCTGGGATGGTGGCGTTTGCGGTGGGTTCCGGGTAGTACACATTAACACTAATGACACTCTTAATTAGTTTATTCTTATGATGGGTTTGGGTATCACGACTACTCTTCTCAATGAACATATATACCATATGGCGCTTAGCATCCATACCCTCTGCCATTCTGAGATACTGTCTGTACGTAAACTGTATAAGCAACACAAACACTCACAACAACAGTATCAGTCGAGCTACCAACTCAGGTGCTAGAAACAAACATGAATCATATTTTCATCCAAGCCACATATATACATCCCTCCCTCCCATCCACCACCACCCCGATCACCAAATAAAAAACCAAGCATGTCCCAACAAGAAATCTAATTCTTCAACCCTTCCACCAACTCCTCCACACTCTTCATCTCCCTCCCATTATTCTCCCCCACATCCAACGCCACCAACACCCGACTCACACAATTATACCCCGCCACCCCCGTCGTCAACTCCACCACCTCGCGATCACTCAACCCGCCCGCCCCTTCCGCCCGCAGCGCCGCAAACGTCCCCTCCCTCACCGAAACCCGCAGTGTCATCTCATCCGCATACTTGAGAACGGCCTGCTGCCTTCCACTCAGCGCACTTCCCCGGAGCGCCTCCGGCGGGGAATCCTCCTCCGCCGTGGAGGCCAACTCCCGCACGGCCTGCAGCTCCGCCGCCTGCACCCCGCCCTTCAGCGCGAGCGGCGCGTGCGCGTTCCACTCGTACACGGCGCCCGTCAGCACCGCCACGCGACACACGGCTAGCTCCAGCAGCCCCTGGTCGATCACGGTCTCCGTGCGGATCGCGCCTAGAAAACTGTTCCAGCCATCGGCGACGGGGGGCGAGTGCAGCAGGGAGAGGTCGAGCGGGATGAGCGGGCGCGGAGAGCGGCGCGCCGCGATGCGGGCGTAGATTTCGCCGACTTTGGTGGGGGAGCCGGCTGGTGGGGTTGAGGGGGCGTAGGGGAGGCGCATTTTGAGAAAGATTCTGGCTTAAGAAGAGGTTTAGTTTGCGCGAGATGGGGTGAGGGACAGTGGCTGGGGACGTACGGTTTTGTTATGGTGTACTGTAGGTTGTTTGTCGGTAGGTAGGAGTTGAAGGTGGGCTGGGCGGATGGATAAGGGTAGCGCCGGGTGTTATATGCCAGGCGCACGGCGGGGAACATGCATTTCCACCCGGAAACGCGGGTGATTGCGGGGGGAGGATGGTCTTAAAGGCTAGCCTGTTTGGGAGGGGTGGGGGCACCGCCGGGTAGGACCAGGTGCCGTAGTTCGGCATGTGTACCCACTCGTTGCCGAGTGTTCGGCCCGATCTTTTACTCTGGATTTCTTTTTTTTTTTTTACATTTGCCCTTCTGATGACTGGTCTGTTGTTTTGGAGCAAGACGAGTTTCCCCGGATTTTGCGCTGCATCCCTTTAACGTGCTTCGCACGTGGAGTGGCTCTGCGGATTGTTACTGGCAGTATGTATACTAAGGGATTGATGGGTTCAAGGTTGGATGGTTATTTGAAAAGAATTCTATTGTAGAAGATCCACTTCAATTGGCTAGAAGAAACATTCGAGGTATTCATCTCAAAAAGAAAACCACAATCGCTAAAATTTATATACACAAGACATTTTGCACAGAATCAACTCTCTCGGACGTCTTACAACTTCTGACCCTTGTTGAAGCGCTCGAAGGAGGAAACGGGAGGAGCCGAGTTGGGGTTGGGGTGGTGCTTCTTGAGCGCCATCGTGACGTTGTACTCCAGGTCCAAGGTGGCCTTGGGGTCGTCGGTCTTGGGCTTGAACTCAACGATCAGATCGTTCTTGACGGCGAACACGGAGTCGATGTCAAGGTAGGGATCGGTGGAGGGGTAGAGCTGGTTGATGATGGTGGCGTAGTCGGGGTGGGTGATCATGAGGTGGATGTGCGCGGGGCGGAAGGGAGAGCGGTCCATGAGGTTGAGGAGCACACCGGCGGGCCCGTCGGTGGGCAGCGAGTAGGCGGTGGGGTGGTAGCAGTACCAGAAGTACTCGCCGTTCTCGTTGGTGCGGAACTTGCCGCGGAGGTTGTTCTCGCTCTGCTCGGGGTCCTGGAAGTCGTACATCGCGTTGGCGGACGCCTGCCAGATGTCGAGGACAGCGCCGACGATGGGCTTGCCCGTCTCCATGTCGGTGATGCGGCCGTGCATCCAGGTAACCTGGCCGTTGGGGAGGGGGTTCTGGATGATGCTGTCGCCGAGCTCACGGAAGGGGGCGTTGGGAGACCAGAAGGGGCCGAGAATGACGTTGGAGGTGGGGGAGAGACCCTGCTCGGTGACGATCTTGTTGGCGATCTCGTCGACAAGGCTAGAGAGGTCAGCTTGACTGCAGCGACGAAATGTGATACGTCAAGAAAACTTACGACTCGAGACCAATAACGTCGCAGATACGGTGGCACTCGTTGCGGATGGGAGTGCTGATCTGACCGATGGAGTTGATGAACTCAACACCCATCATCCACTCGGCAGGAGTGAGCTCGACCTCACGAGCGAAGTCGTGGATGTGCTTGATCAGAGAGCCCAGAATCACACGAGCACGCTCGGGAGTCTTGGGGCCCATGGCATTGATGACATAGGGAGTGAAGTTGGGGTCCCAGCGAGGTTCGGCAGACATTTTGGCGGTTGTGTGTGAGGGGAGGAAGTTGCTCAAAGACAAACTGTGTGATGATGATGGAGAAGATGGGGAGGAAGAGAATTCAGCGACAGTCTGGAGCACTCGAGGGGTCTATATACACGGTTCAGCCAGGCGTGGCAAGTCTGAATACGGACCGTGACGGCAAATCGTTCGGCTCGTTTGGGGATGTGGGGGGAAGCGCAACGGTAAAACCACTGTTCCCACATGCCGATGCTTTGGAGGATGGCCTGATCGTGCAATTCATGGTCGCGTCTGTCGGATCGTCAGCCGAAAGACGGTAGGATCTTATCAAGGTATCCCAAATCTACTTCTTGGTGGGATATAGTGGTCATTGGCACTCCGGGGGTAGCTAAAAATTGCAGCTGTATGGGTAAAACGTTCGATGGGAGTGGTTGCTGCGATCGCGCGCTGGTGATCCCGGGGGAGCTCTTACCCGCTCGTACCCGCGGCTAAGAGCTCAACTCGGCTGACTCAACTCTGCCCCCCGTGATTTTCTTCCCCGGAGTTGTCAATCCCCCCCAACTCGCCCGCGGTTCCTGGCCTCATCGTGATTGCTCGACTTCTGATTGGCCAATGGCGTTCCCGACCACAGATCGATCTTCTCACGTGACCTTCTCCGAAGTGTCTGCCGTCCGGCACGTGCCAAACTTTCCAGAGCCGGATGCGGATAATGAGGCAAAATTTGTCCGCCAGCTGCCGGAGGGGTGCACAAAGACATCTGACCATACTCGCCTCATGGGGAGTCGGCTTCTAATCATGGTAGTAAATTGAGTACATAGAGGGAAAAACAACTTCCATGTCGATCAATTACCGCAGCGCGCTGACACAGTCTAAGTTTTTTTCCGATTTGATTGGATGAAACACAACCGAACATAAGACATAGCTTGGGACAGCTTGTAAACCACATTGATAAGCAATAAAATTAGACTTGGACTTCATTATCATCTATCTATGTACTTTACAGGCTATTGTCTGCATTCTAATCATACCAGATGGCGTTCATGCCGAATCCCATTTCAGGGATATCAACCCGAGCCACGCGAGCAAGGTTCTCGTCGCGGAAGCGGTAGATTTCGACGAAACCAAGTTGGTCATCACACAGGGCAAGCCACTCGTCGCTGAAATCGCAGGGGCTGACGGCGTTGGAATGTCCGCCGCTGGTCGACGTGGGGTGAATGAACAGCTGGCGCTCGATTTCTCCGCTGGGACCCAGCTTGAAGGCTGTGATGTACCCTGTGATATCGAAGGAGTTTCCGCGGGTGGTTGCGAACAGATATTTGCCGCTCTTGGTGGTGAAAGTCACGTCACCACGGTACTTGTTCCGCGGGGGAAGACCTATGCTGGATTAGTGTCGATCTCAGAGGGCCTCAAAAAGTAAAACATCGAGTCTCGGTGGTTTTTGGGGTGGTTCAGACTTACCGCCAGGAAGCAATGGGTAGGTAATGTGGGTGAAGACTGGCTTATGGGTGCGCTCGTCGATAACGTACACGCCAAGTCGGTTACCCGCCTCCATCAACACATAGAGGTATTTACCGCTGGGGTGCATTTCAACCCAGCGGGGATGGTCACCCGGCGCGGGCGCCTCGAGGCAGTCAACCAACTCCAGCTGTCCCGTGGTAGCATCCTTCTTGTGTGTCCAGATCTTGTTGGCTTGCAGATCGGCCGAGTACAGATATGTCTCCGTGGGGTCAAAGACCATGCCGTGGATGCCGGTGTTCGGCTCATACTCGTAGTTCTGGATGTTCTCGCGCAGACTGCCATCCTCGTTGGTGGAGAAGACATTGCCGTAGCCGGCGTACTTGTAAAAGGGGTTGCCGTAGACGTTGTAGGGGGGCTTGTGCGCGGCGAGCACGAAGATTGCACGGGTGTTGGTATCAGCGCTGGCAGCCAATTCTGCGGGAGGGAGATCAGATTCCGCAAGCTTAGATGCAGCAGAGCAACAATGCCTTACCATGACCAGCGACGGGGTGGGAAGCTTGGTGGACAATGTCGGTAGGACTGTTCACAGCAAAGCTGTTCCACTTCTTCATAGCAGCGCCATAGATGGCTTTTTTGTCGTGCTTTTAAGAATGACTTAGTTTTCCGAGCCAAACTACCAAAGTAGCAGGCAAAAACATGCTTACCGAGAAAGTCATCCAAGAGATAGGCTCCGCCTCGGGGATGTCGGTCTTCTTGACCAGGTCCAGGGTCAAGGCTTCGTCATCGAATGCGACCGTGTAGATGCGTCCTGGAGGGGTCCAGGTACCGACCATGAGATGGTGCTTCATTTTCGTAGGTGGGGTTGCGGTAAAGAGGGAAGCGGAGAATCGATATGTCGGAGTATGACAGAATTGAGCGCTAAAAGAACCAGAAGAGCTCGTCAGAAGGGTGGGCGATGCTGAAACGGAGGGTGCTCGAATTGACGACCAGAGACGGAGCATTATAGAACCATCACTTCTGAGAATCGGAGGAGGGGGAAGAGTATTTCCTAGCGTTAGTTCGGCAGGGAAAAAGTCGAGGCACCGCCGACTCGGGATCTGGAGACAGCCGAAGCCAGACTAGAGCAATGAATGCGGGGAGCGGCAAAAGATTACGGCACCTTGAGGGCATTGACGCCTCAGGCATCTAATTGGTATCTCGAGGCTCAAACATTAGCCTAGTCATTACCTTAGCACTTAAGACATGGCTAGCTTCGGCCTCAACTACAGTAGCACCAGCATTAGCCTGTCCACCGCTACCACGGCCCTATTACCCATAAGGCAAGGCGGACTGAGCTTCCCCAACACATCATTAATCATTAGTGACGCAGACTGTTTCAAATTTGACTAGAACAAGGTTCCCAAGGACTGCAGATCTTCGAGTGAAATAAGGGGGAGAAGGGGCGAAGGGTGCACAGATATACAGTTGGAGGCGAATGGAGCTCCTCATGTAACGGGTACATGCATGTGGGAATAGGAGCTGTGGCACGTAACCAATATCCTAATCAGGATAACAACAAATGCCTCCTCCAGGTTTTCGGGAGGGAAGGCGGAGTGATGGACATTTAGACACGGAGTAGAAAATTCCAGTGGCTGCCCCAGGCCAATCAGGCTGCCGCGGGCGGCACAAAGGCGGGGTTCCCTTCCCCGACTAACGCCATTCATGATCTCACCTTCCCTGCTTCCATCCAACGAGGTACTGATTGCTATACAGCCCTGGTCTTAACTCCAACTGATCGCTGCCGTTTCATCAGACCTACGACATCAGTGCGAAGACATGGCAGCCCAGACCAGTGTCAACTCCGACGGTTTGTACCTTTTATTTCCGTCTCTCTTCCCAAGCTCCGACGACCTTTCACATCACCCCTCGTGTGCTACCTCCAGCCAGCTTTTTCCTCTGGCGTTTCCACCAATTTCATTTGCATATATCTTCTCCTAAGTAACGTACTTAAAAAACCTTATTTGCTAATCTCTCCAATGTCGGCCTCTGTAGCTACCGCGACCTCGGAACTCCAATCCTCTCTCCGTGAGCTCGCTCTCAACACCAACAGTCCTGTGAAAGACATTGCGCGCCCGTCATTACTCCCTCACTCCGCCCTCAAGAAGAAGAAAGCTGCCCCCGTGGCAGATTCCTGGGAAGATGAGGTAGATGAGAGCACCTCCGAGCCCGACGAGCCGGACAACAACCCCGTGCTGTCGCCGTCAATCCGCGCCTCCGAAGGCCCTCTCGACCCTCCCCCTACCCCGCTCTCTCCGCAAACAACCTTAAACCAGCCATGGCCCTCCTACGGCAACGCCGGCTCCATGCCCCGATCATCAGACTCCAAGTCTCCAGTGTCGGGCCGACGGCCCGAGAAGCAGACGGCGGTAGCGAACCGAATGATTGCAGGCGCGCTGGGTATTCGAGCCCCGAAGCGCACGGAAGAGCAGCGGGCATACGATCGAGCGGTGAAAGAGCAGGAGATCAAGCGGAGAAACAAAGAGCGCGAGGAAGCCGCCAAGGCGAAGGAGGAAGAGGAACGGGCGAAGGCGGCTGTATGGGATGCATGATTGCTTTCAAGACTTGGACTCTGTTAGTATAAGGCGTTTACATTTGATGTATTTTGATAACACACTTACTACGCTAATCGAACCCACATATCCTATTTCAATTACTCGTTGCTGAAGCTTAGGTAGATAGGGAGTATATACTGAGTGGGCTCGCGCACAGTGCCCAACATGGCATGTGTAAGCGGCTTGACCAGGGGTGGGCTGATATGGAACGATTTCTTAAATTCTTGGAGGTTCTTGGTTGTTCTTGGTGGTTAGAACTAGCTACGTTCTCCTCATATAAACAAGAGGTGAAGGCCTTTTGACTGGATTACTCAGGAACACCAACATAATGCATATCACAGGTAAAATCAAGCAGCGACTAGCAGTATCGGGCCGAACTATGCTTCCATATCAAGATACTGGATTGGAGGATGAATCTGCCTCTTGATTTTCCCTCCCTGGCCACGAACTTTACAACTCACCAAGATTTTCGTGAAATATATAAGCACCATACTATATTAAAAGACGTGTCAAATTTATGAACGAGTGACTAAAGCAGATAGAATTAGTATATGATCATACGAGACTCTTGAAACATATTGGTTAAGTTTTAGCCAACGTTTGTTGTAACATTCGAGACCAGAGAGGGTAGTTCATTCAATCTTCTTGTGTTTCTGTAAATGTCAATGTAGAGCATGATGGACTGCTCTTCTACTATCCGAGTAACACGGGCAAAGCGAGGCAGACACCCTGGTCTAAACCGGTGCCTGGAGTATCAATACAATCCTAATTTACTGCTGTGTTTCCGCTCTAGGGCTATGTACCAAGTGCGCATACAACTCTCCACCTCTGCCTGCATGCTTCTTCATCAATAAACACTAGAGCACGAAGTACACAGTCTGATTGGTCGTTACACTTCCTCAGATCTGTTCATAAGCAACCTCAAAATACTCATTTCGACTCGAAGATGGAGCAGAAAGGTCAGTCACTTGTGTTTCAATAGCAGCAGAGGATATACTGACTTCGGCATAGAGTCTACCAAGACCGGTATTGGGACAGGTACAGGTACAGGTACAGGTACTGGTACTGCAACTAATACTGCAAGTGGTACTGAGATTCGCTCGTACGCCGTCTGCACTCAGGAACAAGTCCGTTATTAGTGCGGACATTCGAAGGATGGACGTTTTATCAAGTGCAAGAAACATAAGGGAAAACCAGATCTGAGATGCCACAGCGGGAAGTTGGACCATGTTGATACAGAATGGTCGTCACACAAATGCCGTTGGTGTCTGGATAGCGACTAAGAAGCTATGACGATGCTGTGTGAGTGTACAAACCCTCATTAATCCATGAGACAAGTCTGATTAATCAGCGCGTAAAGTCGTCACGTCGTCATCCGTGCTTTCTGCCTCTCCCAGACTCATCCCTCAGGTTGACCTCAAGAACATCTACCTCCCTGGAAGCTGCTTCCGAGTCGACATCGGCTAGCGCAACTGTGGATTCGAAGTCGATTACATGGGCACCCTTATCGGTGATGAGAAAATTGTATCTATTGGTGTCCCCATGAATAAAGCCGAAGGCATGCAGTAGGCGAATTGTCCTCGTACACTCCTCAAGATTTCGTATGCCCGGTGGATATCCTGGAATATCCTCCGTAAGAAAGCCGATGGTCCGTTCCCTTGTATCTTCATAAGCATACCCAATAAAGCGCGGGGCGAGTGGAAAGCCGGATGCAGAGAGCTCGGAGTAGATAGCGACCTCCTGCTGTAGGTACCGAATCTCATGTTTGAATTGCGCGATCTTCAGAATCCATATTTCGCCATCACCCTTGACTCGAAACACACGAGCACCGATCCGAGAAACCGTTGACAGGTCTGAGATATTGTAAAACTTAGCTGTAGAAACGTCGAGCTTTGCGAGATTCAGTCCATGGGGCTTGAATTCGTCGAGAGTGCTTTCAAGGCCGTGAGCGCCCCTTCGCACTGTGATTGTTGTCCATTCTTCCTCCCACCGTGGGAATTTCCGCAGGTGCAGAAGGATTCGGTAGCTATCCGTCCTGTAGTCGGGTGGAATAACATCTCCATCGAAGATCCGCGCATAAACTATGCGGTTATTCTTCCGGATTCGATAGAGATGGTCATTTTCCTCGAGATATAGACACAGTACTTCTTCCTGCATTTATGAGAAAACGTTGAATGAACGAGATACGCGTCTAGTTGACTCACATCCGGATAAGCTACCACAGTGGGCTGGAGTGAAGACGCAAGTGATTCAGTGTCGCTAGAGTCGCTATCACTGGACGACAGGGTGGGCAAAATTCGATGCATAGTTCTAGAATGGATCAACTGATAAGGTGCAGTGGCTGAGGTGGGTTTGTTGACGATAAGGAATGGTTTACAGTAACTATGAAAACCAGCACTAACGATATGTGGTTAGTCGCCAGTAACATAGCTAATGTATTAGTTTGTTCCATTTGCACAAGTGCTGACATCATCACTCTTCGAGCCAGTTGCTTGGTGAGCCAATCACACAGGGAGACCAGACGCGGGAAAATGCACCAAACTGGCTGGCTGCTTCCTAACGTTCCCGAGGCTGTGCCACTGACCTCTATTCCAGCCGTGGTGCTGCAGGAACTAATTTAGTTTGCAGGCGCGAGCAATTTGCATTCTGCATCAACCTGGCTAAACTAGTGCCTGGAAATCTCACTTGTCCAACGACTGGCAGATTGCTCAAGGAGATCGCATCCGGTTCCACTTCGACCATTGCTTTGCAACCGACTAGACCCGCCGATCGGAGGCCCATGCCAGCTCCTATGTGGGGAAGAAAGGCCATCGACTCCATTCAATCCATTCAACGCCCCTGGTACTGGAGACTACTCAACCACTAAATCCCACTAACAGACGCCATTTGCCAGTGAGCATGGAAAAGCTGAACTTTGAGGCAAGACAAAATGGCCTCGACATCCACGGGTACGTGGGTACGCCGCTGCTTGGCAAACTTTAATACATTTCGTCTCCTGCCTCTCCCTTCCGCGCCCCGGAAGTTCAAGCTCTGACCCTTCAAATAACGGGGGCCTTCTCCTGTCGCTCCTTTCATCATCATCACCATATTCATCTTCCCTTCTTCCCTTTACCCCCTCCTCATAGTGAAGCTGCTTGCTCACCATCCACAGCATTCAGCAATGGCAGGCAAGCAGCATTCTCCAACGGCCTCATCCGCCACGTCTAGTGCGGACGGGCTGGCCGATCCCGGAGATTCACAGTTACTTGGTGAGTGACTCGCCTCCTCATTATGCCGATAGCGATTGGCTCACGATGCCTCAGCCACCCTCGGGTACAAACAGGAACTTCGTCGACAATACTCCACGGTCCAGATCTTCGCTGTCGCATTTAGTATCATGGGACTGGTGCCCTCGATAGCATCCACCCTCGCCTTCAACTTACCAGCCGGTCCCGCGGCAATGACATGGGTAATTACACCCAACTCGAAAGACATGCTCAGTGCAGGGTTCAGAATCGCTAATTCTCCTAGGGCTGGCTCATTGCGAGTCTCTTCATTTTTTGCGTAGGATTGGCATTAGTAGGAACACCTTGATCACATTGTTGCTGTGAGCGCAGCTAATACTTCCACCTTGCGCCAGGCCGATATGTCGTCAGCTATGCCCACAGCCGGTGGGCTATATTGGTGGACTCATTACTTTGCAGGCCCCAAATATAAGAATGCGTTAAGCTTTCTGGTGGGATACAGCAACACCATGGGGCTAGTCGGGGGGATGTGCTCGGTGGACTGTGAGCAAATATAGGTTAACAACGAGTCTGAGACATTCGCTTACAGGACGACAGACACACTTACGCTCATGATTCTTGCCTGCGTCTCTATAGCACGCGACGGTGCGTGGTCAGCCTCGAACGGTGTCATCTACGGTGTATATGTTGGCCTTATTCTTGTTCACGCCTTATGCGGCATTTACACAGGCCCCATCATGCCTCGGATCCAGACATTTTGCATTTTCATCAACATCGCCATTATTATCGCCACTGTCATTGCTCTGCCGGTGGGCAAGGTCACTAACGGTGGAACACTCAATCCTGGCAGCTGGGTCTACGGACATGTGGATAACTTGACGACTTGGCCGAAGGGATGGGCCTTCATCCTTGCATTTCTGGCCCCAATTTGGTCTATTGGATTCTTCGACTCTTGTGTGCATATGAGTGAGGAGGCTTTGCATGCTGCGAAGGCTGTGCCCCTAGGCATCGTCTGGTCATCGGGATGTGCGTGCGTGCTGGGATTCTTGGTGCTGAGTATCATTGCCGCCGTGATGGACCAGGATATTAGCACAACATACGATTCCATATACGGCCAACCCATGGCGCAGGTCTATTTCACAGCGCTTGGCAAGAAAGGAGCCTTGGGATTCATGGGAGTGCTGATCGTGATTCAATTCTTGATTGGGCTGAGCTTGGTATGTCTGGGTGAAGCTTTCGCTTGATGTGCATATTCTAACAATAGACATAGATTGTCGCCGCTTCTCGCCAGGCCTGGGCGTTCTCTCGAGATGGTGCCCTGCCATTTTCAAACTACTTTCGCCACGTGAGCAAGCGCATCAAGTATCAGCCGGTACGGGCGATGTGCGGCTTCGTAGCTGTCTGTATTGTGTTCGGTTTACTCTGTTTGATCAATTCTGTCGCCGCCAACGCGCTTTTCTCGCTCTTCGTGGCCAGTAATTACGTCGCTTGGGGCACCCCGATCCTTTGCCGGTTGATTTGGGGTAAGGAGCGGTTCCGTCCGGGCGAGTTCTACACCGGGTGGTTCAGTCGCCCGATTGCAACCGTGGCCGTAGTATGGTTGATCTTTGGTTTGATCTTGTCAATGTTCCCTAGCACAGGCCCGAATCCGAGCCGTGAGTGTCTCCCTCTTCCCAGCGAGGATAATTGGCTAATGATGATGATATAGCATCGAATATGAATTACACAATTGTGCTTAATGGCTTCGTCTGGGTCGCTTGCATGACGTATTACTTTCTGTTTGCTCGCAAGTGGTACACTGGACCCAAGATGACCGTTGACGGGGTTGATTCTCAAGTTGAGAACGACGAGAG